TGTGGATGTGTGTCGTGTGACCCAGGGTGCACACATTGTAGGATTGTAATTAACGCATGAGAAACTTGGACAGTTGCCGCCGCTGACGGTGTGTGTTGTGCCCGTGTGAGGTCAGAAATATATTTATTTTTTTTTACTTTTGAAACAGCATCATTCTTTTGTGTATACCTGTAGATTCGAGCGCCTGGTAGATAGCTTCAACATTCGCTTTGACTTCTAGACCTCGTGTTATTTTAGAAAGAAACCGTTTTACAATACACGCATTCATTAGACTTACAAATAACGCTGTGATAGCCGAGATCAGAGGTTTAACGACGCTAATACAAAATTCTTGTTCCTGTACGCCTAGGTTATTTGAAGAAACTTTATACGCATTTATCATTTTGTTAACGCGAGTTACATGAAGTGTTCATATCATCGCTAATGAACTGAACTAACTAACTAACTAGATGGCTTAGGGAACCCGAAGGTTTATTGCCGAATTAACCAAAGCCCTCCACCGATCTCTGTCATGGGTCAGCAAAATCCAGTCTCCAATGATCTGAGCATCCTAGTGAAAAAATCATTTACGAGACTATTTCATTCCTCTTACCAAACTGTACATCACTTATGTTCCTGAAAGACATGAACGTTGGTAAACCAACGTAATATAGAAATTTTAAAATTTAGAATAATATAAAGTAGTTTCTTTTATTGTTAATTAGGATGGACACAGATGCAGCCAAACATCAGTTTCGCAAATGAAGCTGCATTGCTTGTGAAAACAGTCGCTAGGAATGATACATAATCAGCTGACAGAAACACTCTCTTGTTAATCTTGTCATTGTTTTAAGTTCTGCCTTAACTATTTTAAGAGCCAGAACATGATCTTTTAAATTCGAGAACGAACACTTAACATTCTTCATAATAAATACGATGATCTGTCGTTGGTTTGTTGACAGCGGGGTGAGAGCAGAAATGGAGAAGCAGCCCCCGGTGGCAATCATGTTATTTTTCGTCGCACGCAAATAAAAAGTTTTTGAAAGAAGAGGTTGACTAGAAAATCTCACGAGTAGAGTCGCTCTCCTCCAGACGAAATCTTTCAACATTAGTCGGAAACATATAAGGAGAAATAGGCTGATAAATGATGTACTTAAACAAGGGATAATATCCTAGGCCCATTAGCAAATTTTTAAACTGCAAACCAATAGTCTTGACGATTATTTTAGAACACCAGACAGCGGCATTATTAACACTTATGATGTGAGCTGTGCAAAGCTTTAAGCGTTAAATTAAGCCACTTTTGTACTCATATTTTTCTTTAATTAATCTCAGTTGATTTCCCCCCCCTCTTTTCTGTTCTTCACCTAATTCGTTTGGCAATTAACTGTTTGAAGTTTAACTTTAACTCTCTGAATTATCTGACGTCATACAAACGATTTTTGTGAGTTCCGCGAACTTATTCTCTCTATGTGTAATTATTACCGACGTAGTGATGGTACGAAGCTATAGAATTAATAACTGTCTTCGACATGAATTATTATATTATTATCAGCACCACAATTACTAAAACTACTTTAGAGCTTTTTCAGAAGTTACATTCGACGTAAACAATTCATACGAGATATTTCAGTGTGCTAGTCCAGCGTTTGTAAACATTTTCAACTCTACATGTCTCATGATCTCAGAGTGAAACTCCGCATACCAATTTGTAAAAGCAGACTTAATTTGCAACTCACACTAAGTAGAACCATGTATTACACATGTGGAAATTTACACATAAAACAACTTTTTTAATTTTAAAAATTTCTAAATTAAATTTTAAATTAATTAATATTAATAATAATTTATGAGCCGGGATAGCTCAGTCAGTATAGTGACTAGCTACGGGCTGGACGACCGGGGTTCGATCCCCGACGGGGGCAGAGGATTTTTCCTCCGGCCTCTAAGTCCAGTCCGGCTCTGGGGCCCACCCAGCCTCCTCTACAATGAGTAGCGGGGTTCTTTCCCGGGGGTAAAGCCGGCCGGGGCGTGATGATGACCACTCACCCCAATCTATTGCCGAGGTCAAGGAAGAGAGGAGCTATACCTCCTCTCCCCCCAAACGCCTACATGGCGTATAGTGGGACAAACTTAATAATAATTTAGTCGTGTTTCGCATTGTATGAAAAATAGCTCATTGAGGTAAATCTATTCCAGGTTCAGAATTGCTGGGCTAGAAGCATAAGGAATCAAGTCTTTACAAAGCAAAACTATCGTTGACATGTTTGTTGTTGCTCAGTTACTGGGTTGTAACAGAGGTTTCGAAATATAAGAGTCCCGGCTACTTGAGATTTTATCTGAGTCAGGTGAGAAGTCAGAAGCCAGTCAATCACGTGCCCAATGAATGACGTCCTCACCCACTATCAACAGTTTTCGTCTCCGTGGGGACGACCTCTCACAAGCTACTCTTGTGCTGCCTCCATTGTCTTCTTTACCTTCAGACTCCATCCAACATAAAAGTTGATTGTGGAAAACTACCACAGAATTTTCAGTGTCGAACGTTCAGCGAAGAAAGACATTGCAGGAAATACTTCAAAGGCTGAAGACACTTTTGAAAGTCTCTCGAAAATTTTTAGAGGTTTCTATAACACCTAAGAAAGACATTTCCTATATTTCTGCACACCGTCTCCATATCGTCGACTTATAAAACAAACCAACGCTTCAAAGACGGTCAATTCGAAAGTGATAATTGTGAAGTTTCAGGAAAAAAAACTAGCTCACATCTCTAAAAAGTGAAAAAATCATTTACGAGACTATTTCATTCCTCTTACCAAACTCTACACCACTTATGTTCCTGAAAGACATGAACGTTGGTAAACCAACGTAATATAGAAATTTTAAAATTTAGAATAATATAAAGTAGTTTCTTTTATTGTTAATTAGGATGGACACAGATGCAGCCAAACATCAGTTTCGCAAATGAAGCTGCATTGCTTGTGAAAACAGTCGCTAGGAATGATACATAATCAGCTGACAGAAACACTCTCTTGTTAATCTTGTCATTGTTTTAAGTTCTGCCTTAACTATTTTAAGAGCCAGAACATGATCTTTTAAATTCGAGAACGAACACTTAACATTCTTCATAATAAATACGATGATCTGTCGTTGGTTTGTTGACAGCGGGGTGAGAGCAGAAATGGAGAAGCAGCCCCCGGTGGCAATCATGTTATTTTTCGTCGCACGCAAATAAAAAGTTTTTGAAAGAAGAGGTTGACTAGAAAATCTCACGAGTAGAGTCGCTCTCCTCCAGACGAAATCTTTCAACATTAGTCGGAAACATATAAGGAGAAATAGGCTGATAAATGATGTACTTAAACAAGGGATAATATCCTAGGCCCATTAGCAAATTTTTAAACTGCAAACCAATAGTCTTGACGATTATTTTAGAACACCAGACAGCGGCATTATTAACACTTATGATGTGAGCTGTGCAAAGCTTTAAGCGTTAAATTAAGCCACTTTTGTACTCATATTTTTCTTTAATTAATCTCAGTTGATTTCCCCCCCCTCTTTTCTGTTCTTCACCTAATTCGTTTGGCAATTAACTGTTTGAAGTTTAACTTTAACTCTCTGAATTATCTGACGTCATACAAACGATTTTTGTGAGTTCCGCGAACTTATTCTCTCTATGTGTAATTATTACCGACGTAGTGATGGTACGAAGCTATAGAATTAATAACTGTCTTCGACATGAATTATTATATTATTATCAGCACCACAATTACTAAAACTACTTTAGAGCTTTTTCAGAAGTTACATTCGACGTAAACAATTCATACGAGATATTTCAGTGTGCTAGTCCAGCGTTTGTAAACATTTTCAACTCTACATGTCTCATGATCTCAGAGTGAAACTCCGCATACCAATTTGTAAAAGCAGACTTAATTTGCAACTCACACTAAGTAGAACCATGTATTACACATGTGG